CTGAGCCCGACCAGAACATAATCAAATTTTCATGGACTGATAAGAGACAAAAAAGTGCACGCACACACACACACTAAAGGTCTCATCCAAAACGACTAACTCGAAAACAAAAGAAAAAAGTTTCAAGTGCTCCGAACAACTGGTAAACATTAAAAGAGGGGCTTAAATGTCGACAGTGAGTTTGGCATCCAAATGTGAGAAGTCTTGGAAGAAGGCCTTGAAATGCTCGTAAGAATGCTTCACGTCATCAACCGCACACATTTCTCTTATGCTATGCATCGACAGTTGTGGGGCCCCAACATCAACCGTGCGAATGCCCACACCACTCGCCAAGATGGGCCCGATTGTCGAGCCACAACCCATGTCATTGCGAACCACAAATTCCTGTAGGAATCATATTAAATTAATTCATCTCAACCTTGAAAAGGGTATTTTTGTAATTAACCCATTTACTAATCTACGGTATCTGACCTGTACAGGGAGTTTGTGATTAGCTGCAATCTCCCTGAACAAGAAAGAAGTTACTGCATTGGTTGCGTATCTTTGGTTTGCATTGTGTTTGATGACGAGTCCACCATGCATCTTGGGCTGATGGTTCTCTTCATGTTTGTCCTGATTAAACGGAGGGAAATGTTATTAGGTATGTATAACAATCTTCGCCAGCAATTCTGAGTTACGGAGAAGATAAAATTATTGCATACCATATAATTCGGATGCAAGGCATGAGCCATATCAGCTGATACTAGATAACTCTTCTGAATTGCTTTCGGTAGCAGCTTTATAAGAAAATAATAACATTATTTTTTTTTTTAAAAAAAAAAAGAAAGTCAGTAGAAAAGATATACAAAAACATTCAAAGTATCAAAAAGTGCAGTCACGCTAAAGCCAGCTGAAAAAAATAATAATAAATCAACACACACAAAAGACCTGTCTGTACCTTTGTATCCGAACTGAATGAAGAAGTAATACGTGATAAGGCATCCAACATAACAGGGGAGCCAGCTCCTTGTGCGGAGTTAGATCCAACCTCCTCGTGATCAAACAAAGCCACCATTCTTATCCCACTCTCGTCCTCCAGACTTTTTTCAGCGGAAGTTGAATCTATCAGTGCCTTAAATGAAATATAACAATCAACTGTAAATAAATCTATGTCAATTCTGGTGCTTTTGCCAAAGAGCGAGAGAAACTTCCTATCATGTTCGTACTAATTTGATTACGACATTCGAGGTTCCGTTTGGATTACAGTCTATTGATAGAGTGAAGGGCAATATTAACAATAGATAATGAACGTACTACCCCGAAGGGTCCTCAGGCAAGATAGCCTGCCACAAACGTCAATATTCCAGAATACCCATCTAACTCTTACCCACCAATATATATACTAAACCCTAATATTTAATAATTAAACCCTAAAGCCCATTTAAGAGCCCACTAACTTAACTAGTTACATTAACTAAATAATAAGGATAATTGGGCCTACGCCCTAGGGTCCAGTAGGAGCAGCCGCAGCCCGTTTCAGCCTTCTAGAATAAACTTTCATAAATTGGTCTTTATCATCTATTTCCAAGAACACAGAAATTAAGAAAAAAAAGTAAAATAATGCATTTTTTACTATGCTGCAGATTATGTGAAATAATCGACTAAGAATTAGTAGATTGTTTCAATTGATAGTGTATGATGGAAAATTCAGTATGTTCAGTATGACTACTCAAACATGAATACGCACCTTCAAAGAGCAAAACGACATACATAGGTTATCTAATCTTCCAGATAAAACAAACTCCTTCAAGGCCCCACCTATGACACTTTTCTGGGTATCACACGCTTGCAACTCGAAATCACATATTGCACCCGGTTCGCACCCAAGCTGAGTGGCAATTAGCTGAAATTACGAGGAACAAACAAAAGAATCAATATACGGAGCACAAAAATTGTAGTGGTCTAATATGTAACCTCGAAGAGTTAAAAAAAATAAAAGGAGGGGAAACAAAAATTTAAAAGGGAGGCCAAGAAAAATGAAGAAATAATGAATTTACAAAATAAACGTACTTGCAGAAGAAGGGGATGGTGCTTTTGGTTGTTAGTTGTCCTTCCATCAGCTTTCTTCCCTGCAGTCGACCCACTTTCAATGGAACAATCCCCGGCAGCTTGTTTATTCAGCTCCGCCTGTACAACAGATGTAAAAAGGATTTTAAAAGTAGAAGAATCAAAATACAATCTTTATCCGATAAAATGCCCTTAAGGTTCGGTCCTCTTCCATATAATCTCAAGAAATGGTTAAACAGTAGCACTGAATAATGTAGGGATTCCATAAATTAATATGTTTGTATGTGTGTGTGTATATATCAATAATATGTATTTGGCTCAAAAAAAGGAAAAAAAAAAAGAAAAAAAATAAACAAGTACAGCGCTAGTCGTCATTCTTGAATTTACCTTAACTGATGTAGCCAACACCGGAGCAAGGTGAGTTTGTTTGTTAACCTTAAAACCATCATTTACCTCTCTATCCAATAAATACAAACAATATAAATAAATTACTAAACACATAAACAGTGAATTTATGCTAATCAAACGAAGCAACATAAGATTTTCTAGAAAAGGGACCTGTCCAAGTGGATCGCCAAAGTCGGGACCCGCATAATAGGCTCCTCAATTCTGACAAGCTGGTGAGAGAATGACTCCAACTCGTCTTTCTTCTCTCTAACTATCACTCTTCCAGCAATGGCCAGGTCGCGATCGAACCACGTGTGCCACAGCCCACCTCCATAAGGTTGCACGCCAACTTCAAGATACCCACCTTTTGTAACCTGAAAAAACAAACATTACTATTTCAGACCACATTCTTTCTAACAAAAGTATCAGTGTAAACCATGTTACAGTAGATTAATCACCTTTGTAATGGGCTTCAGCTTTAAACATGGACTGTCAGTATGGGCGCCAATGATGTAAACCCCATTCCCAGCAGTGTATCTATTTTAAACAATCAATCATATTATAAGCTCAACCCATGTCAAGAAATTCGTGCGACGCGTAAACTGGCCATCCATTTCATATAATCGTATTAAAAATTTTAACAAGCTTCGAAATTCTCGCTCTTCCGTTTCAGCAATACTACATACTGCAAAATATATGTTTTCCCACAAAGATTCGAACTTTAATTCCCTAGAATTTAGATTTTCGTTTATCATTCCAATTGCTAATATCAAGGTGATTGATTCGACAAATGCAGAATCGAACTGTACCCGGAAAGAACATAACAAACATGGAACTACAAAACTACATACATACTTTCTACCAATAGCAAAAGCAACAATTGTCGAGTGATTCCTGGTGAAGAAATATTTCTTGCCAGCTTCGAGTTTCCAGTCATCCCTCTCTGATACTTGCTCATACCCGGCACTTCTCAGTCTCTTCTTGGCTTCATCTAATTGACAGAATCAACATCCCAAAGATTCTATTTTAATTACTGGGCAAGTCACATCTCAATCACACAAAGATTCTAACATTAACCTAGGAATAAATACAAACATACAACAACAAAAAAACCAACACAAAGATCTCGTTTTTCCTTCTAAAACAGAAGAGAGCAGTGTGTTCCATAAGAAAACCTCAAGACGGACAACAAAAATTCCAGCGCAAATCAGAGAGTGTGTAAGAATCTTATGAGAAGAAGAGTGAAAAGGAGTCAGTACCCACTGCGTGAAAAGCTGTTGGGGAGGCATTCAAGAACTCCACGAGATCATCTGCTACTGGATTTTCCATTAATCTGCAATTTCTTGTTTCGCACACTCCCAAAAGGATGAAATTCCCGTGTTGTTCTTTTTCCTCTTCAGATGTCCGGGCGTTTGGGCCTAAACTTACGAGTTGCAGATTATAGACATGTCACATGTAGACAAATACAAATCAAATTGCATAAAATATTCCGTTAATGATGGAAAAACAAAAATATCAAATTTAGGACCTATTTCTTGCCCCAAATTTAGGATGAAATCGGGCCCCACGCAGCGTTGGTTAAGGCCGTTCGGAATTTGCTTCAACGAGATTGGACCGTTCGGCTGATCATATGACGAGCCTTGCAGCATCGTACCTGCCTGGACTACATCGAATCACCTCCCCCTCCCCCCGTGGGGTTGGGTGTTTGGCTTGATCACGAAAACATTGGGGTGTCTTATCAGTTATCCCCGTCGAGTACTAGCTTAGGCCAATGGTCTTCTTCTTTGTACCAAAAAAAAAAAAAAAAAAACTCACCAATCTCCATATTATTCTTCATTAATCCACATCTCTAGTAATCCAACATCATCGAACACTTGCAAATGAGATAAGAAATGTGTTAACCCCTAAGATATATTTTTTTTTTTACATCGACTTTCACTCACAATGAGTCTATTGATTTTTGAGTGTTTGAGTTATTTTAGGAATTTAGATCATCAAACCCTGTTCACATCTGTTACATTAAACCAATGCGATGGGTTGATTAAGATGGTAGAATGAATAAAGTGATAATAGATGCAGGTTAGGGTTTAAGTTTGTTCAGTATTCGTCCCAGGTAAAAGCTAAAACATGGCCTAAATGTTTGTTTGCTAAGGTTACATAAGGAGTAAACTTTTTAATGTCAAGCTACATGACTCATGAAATGTTTCGAAAGTCAGACTGTAAAGTGAAACTTTCAGTTTACAAAAGGCTACACCTAAGAAACGTAAATACACAAAACTGGGAGGAGGACGATTATATGAGCTGCCTAAAGAAAGAGCTTGGAAGATCCAATCGTGAGGGAGCTCGTATAACCGTCCTCCCGATTTTTTATACATTTTTCGTCGAGCAAGTAGTTAGTTATCTCCACTTTCCCCCATTCGCCTTGATTTGCTCACTCTCTCCTAGCTATTTCAATTTACCAACACCTACCTCTATCGCATACTCGTAGGTTATACTAGTTTTAGTCACTTATGTGCACGACCTTAAACCTACATGAATGACATGTAATCATTATACTATCACTCGACAACTTGAATAGTTTCTTTCAATATACATAATTAATTTGACGTTAGAATATTTACATTGGAGGACCTTTGCGGAGCTCTACAAGTCCTTGAATCTGGTTTGTGAACAAGAATTAGTTCGTAAGAAGATGTTTGGATACAAAACATCTAAAAAAATTCAACAATTTTTAACTCAATTATTCTTTTTAACTCAATTTTAGTCCAACCTCACTATCATCAATATAATTAAATAATACCAATCAATCATTCTTACACACCACATTTTTTTTAATTCACCATTCATCTAGTCACATATTTTTAACTATCATTTCAAATCTTTTCGCATACTTTTCTATCAAATCAACTTTAATCTTTTTATTTTAAATATTATTTTAATATACTTACTAACAACTAACCATACCACATTTTCCAAAATTAACCAAAGCAAATCAAACCAAACCAAAAAATAAAACCATTTTTTTTTTTATATATATACAAATGGCCTAGGGCATAAATTTTTTTATATGGAGCATAAATTCTTATGTAAAACGGCCTAATCGATTAACCCGTTACACTCTATAAGAAAAATGTATTTTTTTTTTATCAATCGTTATATATACTTCTATTATATTATTTTACAAAGTATGATATGTTTTACAATGCCGTCCAATTCGGGCTGGATAAAAGTGAACACAGACGGGGCGTTTAGCAATCCACTGGAATGGGCAGTGCGGGAGGTTTCATTAGGGATGAGGTCGACTGATGGATTGAGGGGTTTTGCATGAATATAGGCTTCTGCACCATTACGGGTGCCGAACTTTGGGAACTCTTACAGGGACTACAAGTGGCTTGAGGCTTAGGATTTCGCCAGGTTATAGCAGAAGTGGATAGCAAATGTGTAACGAGTATGGTCTGCGGCATCGAAGACGACTTTGGGGCACATACGTCGATAATAATGGCAATCCGTAACATAGTCCAGAATAGGTGGAATGTGAGAATCCACCACGTGCATAGAGAAGCGAATTTTGCAGCAGATCAAATAGCGAGTTTGGCGGCTTCTTTTTCGCTTGGTTTTCATCGTGTAGCGGACTCTCCTGTTGGCTTAGGACACTGGCTTGATCATGATCTTATGGGGTTTCCTACCTCCGGTACATTCTAGCCTAACCGAACTTCTAGACCTTTGACCCTTCTACATTATACCGAAAAAAAAGTACATATTTTTACCGTGATTTATTTGGCACGCGAGTCTATTATTTTAGACCGTAGAGCTTTTATATTAACGCCGTCAAGCCCTCTTTTTGCATAAATTGCAATTTCGCCCACGACCAAACAACGACGACTTGGGAGCTAAAGGAATCTCTTTGATATTACAATCAACGAACTGCGAGAGAAAGAAAAATCTCCGCCGAAAGGTACGATCTTTGAGGAAATATGTGTACAGATGAATCTTTGTCTTTATGTAATATACTTGAATTTGCCTCTGTCAGATTTGTCGATTTTTTTTTTTTTTTTTTTTCGAATTGAGGATTTTCATCTGTTGCTTTTATCGTGCTTCATTATAATTCACGAAGTATAATTTTGAGGAAATTGCTTGTTTATCTACCCCGTCAAGACTGCGTGCAGTATTATGATTACCTTTTTCATGGGTTTTTGCAAATGATTAATTGTTTATTGTTCTCAAGGAATTGAAACTCAGTGTTCGAAAGTGTGCAACGTTGTTGTGAATTTGTGTATTTTCTTGATTTTGTGGATTATTCTTCCCTCAATTTGTTGTTGTATTAATCGGGGGTTTCATTAAGATTTAGGAGTTTCTTACAAGATGTGCTTATTCGTAATCTTGCGTATGATTAGCAAGTTGGTTTAGCTTTTTAACGATGGGCTAGGAATGAATTATGAAGTTAATTTTAACTTAGCAGCTTTTGTATAGTATTCAGAGGTTCAGGGTGTTTCTTCAATTTTGTTGAGGACTATTTATTAGATTTAGTCTCTTACTTGTAATTGTTCTGTCTCATAACTCATTCAGATTCATTATCATGTAATTTGAGTTTGTACAAGAGGGAATCTTGCGTTCGGAAACAGTGCTTTTATTGTACGTATCGACTTTTCTTGTTCCGTATTTTGGCACATTGGTTTTCTGAATTTTCTGATGGTTTTAGCTTCTGTCAAATTTGTTGTGTCAGCAGGGGTGACTGGTGGGATATTTATTGTAACATATTCACTCTTAATTGTTTGCCTCATGCGTGTCATTTGGATGGCTCGAGGCGCATATATGCCAATGTTGTCTCTTGTTATCTCTCGTTGGTTTCCTTTATAATATTGTACCCAGTTTTATTTTGTGAACAGCCTCTTTTATGTGTTTTATTGCGTGAACTCTTGTATAATTACATTTCTTATACCCGTTTTATTGATTAATACAACATTTATTTTAAGTTCAAAATTCATCTCAAACTTGTTGACATTGTAGATTCGACATCCTTTAATATGACCATGGAAACTCACTGGCAGTTGTTTTAGGTTATTGTTGCAATATAGATGATCTATGCTAAAATCACAGGCTGTCTTATAATTCATATGCAGGCCTGCGAACTGACTCATCAATGGCTTCTTCCTTCAAAGCATTTTTGAACAGCCCCGTTGGGCCCAAGACTACTCATTTTTGGGGCCCTGTAGCTAACTGGGGATTTGTCATTGCTGTATGTCTCTCTATCTTGAACAGTAAAAAGCTTGGAATGAGTTATTTTTGAAACTTTATCTAAATTACTATGAACTGGTTTTACAGGGACTGGTGGACATGAAGAAACCACCAGAAATGATATCTGGCAACATGACCGCAGGTCTAATGTCGAATTTTGGACCAGATTATGTCCTTGTTATTTAATTAGTCCCTTTTAACCTTTTTTTTTTTAAATAATGAATGCAGCAATGTGTGTATATTCTGGGTTATTCATGAGGTTTGCGTGGATGGTTCAGCCTCGCAACTATCTGCTGCTTGCCTGTCATGCTTCGAACGAGACAGTGCAACTCTATCAACTCTCGCGCTGGGCCAAGGGCCAAGGGTGAGTTTGAAAACCTATAGGTTTATCAAGTTTTTTTTTTCTTCTTTTATAATCGAATGATTTGGACGTATTTATCAGGCCATTTCTGCGCTTGTGGTGCGTCCCGTAACACAAATTCTTTAGTTTTCAGTAAGATTTATTAGGAAACCATAAGATAGGTGAAAACGAGGAGCAGCTAATTTTTTTCTCTTATTAGTTTCACTCAAGGATCTTATAACTGAAAATACCTTAATGTGCCATCCCAATTAGCTGACTCTCGTTTTCACACTTATATTCCAAATTAGCCCCCTAAATGGATTTTCGAATCAATGCAAGTGAGGAAAAAGGACCAGCTAAATTTTCTTCATTTTAGTTTCATTCACGCACTTTGTCAGGGATACCCTGTTGTATTTTTGCTTCAAAATTCTGTGTGTAATGTTTTTTTTCCCATAGGTACTTGGGGGATAAGAAAGAAGAGGCCACATCTCAGTGAACCAGTGCTGCGTTTTTCTGATTTTTTATTTTTTCTGAAATTTGAAGATTGTGGGCCCCATGCCTCGCTGCCGTTGCAACCGGAAAAACACCAGGACGCTCAAAAAAACTTTTTAAGTTGTATCTTGATGTGATCATATTAATTTCTCAGTTTTTCTTTGTCGCGCCCTGTCGAAATTTGATGTTCGGCAGAAGATCCAAACACAGCCTAATAAGCGTACTTCCTGATTATTGTTGTATTCTTGATAAGACTCTCTGA